TCCACCTGCCTCTTCCTCAGAGAAAGGAGAATGACTTTGTTGTTAGGCAGACCTGGAATCCAGTCGTGAAGCAGTCACTTTGCAGCTTGACCTGGTAAGTCACTTAACCTTTATGAGGCCTGTTTTCATAATCTATAAAGGCAATGGTCTATAGCTTCTGCAATGAAGAGCTCATAATTCTGATACTGCCACCCCTGCATTCCAGGAATAAGCCGAACTGATTGTATATTTTTTGTCATAAACTATGGGACTCAATTTGTTGATATTTTGTTGAGGAACTTTGCATCATGTTTCACAAGTGAGATCAGGCTATATTTTGTGTACTCATCCCTTTTTATTCAGGTTTTGATACCATAATTAAGTAGATAGAGTTGGGGTGACTTCTATTTTTTTCTGTGTTCTAGAACAATTTATAAAATCAGAAAAATAGGTTCTTGGTGGTTTGACAGAATTCACAGGTAAAACCGGCTAGCCTAGGTGCCCTCTGGTGGGAGCAGTGGAGAAACCTTATCTGACAATGTTTTCTGTTTCTTCTGTGCTAATAGGTCTATTGAGATTAGTTACTCCTCAAATCAGTCAAGCCAGACCAGGGGTGTCTACTGGACAAATGACAACCTCCAAGCTTTCAGGGTTGGCATGAGGCTATGATTAAATGGGAAAGTTTTTGGCCTCAGTGGATTGAGATCATTTTAGCCAATGGCTAATCCTTTCTATAACTCTATATCTACTTTTCTCCATCTCCACCTCCACGAAGCCACCATCCATTCCTACCTGGATCCTGCAGTTGCCTTCTAACTGGTCTCCCTGCCCCACCCAAGGTTCCTTCTAACTCCATCTCCTTGGCATATTTAGGGCTATGAAATTTCCTCTGAGCACAAGTTTGGCTACATCCTATGGATTTAATATGTGCTGTTATCATCTTTCTGTAATGTCAACTTTCTTCTAACCAAAGACTTACTTATTTAGATAAGTGTTTCTAGATTTTCAATTGCTTAGTTTGAAGTATGGTCCAAGAATATATTCTTATACATGTAGGAATTTATAAAAATGTTTGAATGTTGTGTTTATTATAATAACAATCCTAAGAACACTCATATAACTTTATTCTGGATCATCTGGATGACCTCCTTATAAAAAATACCTGATATTTAAAATCTTCATTTCCATTTATTATTAAGTAGTACTACTTTAATCTTGAGATGAGGCAAACAACAATGATCCAACACAAGACAGAGATGGAGGGAATTCCCAAGGTAACAGTGAAGGGAAATTATAGGTCCTCATCTGTGCAGCAGACTTAAAAAGCCATCAGCCCAGACTAGAGCTGGAGTACAGAATACTCTGGGAGATATGCCCCCAGCAAGGTAAAAACACTGCCACCAAAAGCAATGACAGATTTCCTGTTAAGTTTGACCTCATGAAAAATTGTACCACAGTACTATTGGGAGGTATGGGAAGATATAGCCAAGGGTACAAAGGAAACTGAGCAAATGAAACAATAAGGCAATATTAACTCCAGGAAAAAGAAAAAGTTGCACACTCACACACACACACAAAATTTAATAATAGTACACTAGTAGAACAATGCTTATTTGATAATAATAATGTAAATGCTAAAAACTGATTTAGCCAAAAGTTGGTAATTTGAGTGTGAATGGGAAGAGATGGAGATTTTAGAGGTAAATGATCATATGTCAAAATAAGAAATTAATCATTACTGTTTAAAGTGAGAGGAACATAAGCATGGAAATACGGAAATTTATTCCAAAAGATACAAATATGAATTGAAAGTAGTTACTTGTAGGGAACAAAGGAATCCTGAGAATGGGGCAAGATATCAATATAAGCCTTTAATTACTATTTAATTTGTTAGATTATGTGCTTGTTCTAATTTAATAAAAATTAAAATCAAGCCTTAAAACGTGTCTTCTTATTACAGGTGACTTCTAGTTTTCTACAAGAATGAAGGGGGGATTATTTGCTTAACATTTCTGAGGTTTTCATTGAAATTATTTTCTCCCAAAAAGAGGGTGGGTAATACCAAAGTATCATTTCTAAATAAAAAGTTCTTGGTGTTTTTGTTTTTTCAAAATCTACCAAAGTATCAAAATTCTTAGGGTACTCTATGACATATAGCTTTCCAGACAATAAACTCTTCAAGGACATAAACAGTCTCTTCTTTGTCTCTGTATTGGCTATAGCACCCAGCACAGGGTCTGGCACACAGTAAGCTCCTGATGCTGTTGAATACAGGAAAATTAAAGAGACACTTTAAAAATAAAAAATCTTTCTGATTTCCCAGTTCAGCAGTGACATTCCTACTATTTCCCTACAGATATTTCCACCCTGTCTTGCAAGTGTTCAAAGATCCTAGGAACTGTGACCTGCAGGGTGGCAGTGAGAATGGAATTCAAAACTCAGGAATCACTTCCTGGCTTCAGTGGGGAGTGAGAAGGTTCCTCTCTTCCCTAGAAATTTCTTGGAATAGGAAAGGATTCATCAGCAGGTGCTCTGAGGCTGGAGGAGGGGCTACAGCACAGTCGGAGCAGAAGAAAGTTTGCACTTTGATCTTTGTGGAGCTCTACTTGTTAGAGAACTGAGGGATGGGTCTTCTGCCACCTGCTGGGCCAGGGAGGGGCAGTTTTCTAAACTGACAAGTGAGGCAACAGTCCCAACCTTCATCTCTTTCAACTTTTTCACAGGCCACTGTGAGGACTGAGAGTGAGAATGGATACGGTGCTGGAGTGCTGTCCACTCAGTCATTATAAAGTTAGGCACAGTATTAGACACCAGGGATTTGTGCCTTCAGTCAACCAGTCAACAAATATTAAGTGAAGGGCTGCTATGCATCAGGCAAATTAGATCTGACCTTTGCACAAAGGGACTAATAGCTGGGGGAGGGGGTCTGTCCAGGTCTCTTCCTAGCATAATGTGCATACCTACTGCTTTACCTGCAGAGAGGGCCTTCCCAGCCTTCTCAGAGTTCCTGCACTTTTGCTCTATGAGCTGCCCACACCATCTCTACCAGGCTCTGAGATGTAGGTGATGGCACCTGACTAGGCCTACTATGTGCATAGCTATGGCTGAATCACTTCCTAAGTCTGTAAACTCCACCCTGACCCTCCATCACCACCCCAGAACTTTAAACTCTGCTATGTAAGAGAGGTGCACCAGGCACATCCCACATGCAAAGCACATTCACTCTGAGTTTAAGACACTCTGATCTCCTCCCCCACTCTTCCTACTACCCCTAATCCAGGATCAGCTAGACTGGGAACCCTGAAGAAGGTGGAGCTTGGATAAGCCTGATGCTTAGCTGTTTAGATCAGCATCAGAGAGCAGGGCAGTCAAAAGCCAACTCCCTTCTTCATACCACAACTTTTGAGTCTTTGCTCAGTGCTGCCCTGTCCTTGGTGCTGGGGACAGTCATGAATCAACTCAGGTCCCTGCTGACCCATTTCACAATCCAGCTGGGGACATAACACAGGGGCAGTGCCCAGCTGTAGAAGTTCAGAGGTGGGGGTGCGGTTCTGTGGTGCCTGGCCTCTTTTTATAGTAGGGAGCTTTAATCTTTTAGACTGAGCCCCCAGCCTGGGGCCAGTGCCATTAGGTGGTGCATACTAATCAGCTGGGAATTTTGCTAAAATGCAGACTCTGATGATTCAGTGGGTCTGAGATCCTACATTTTTAACAAGCTCCCATGTGATGTTGTAGGTCCATGGACCACACTTTACATTGAGTTCAAGGCTCTAGAGCACTTATCTTAGTTCTCTGAGTAGTGATAATTGGATTAATGTCTTTTCCTCACTGGGCTGTAAACTCTTCAAGGCAGGGATTTTGACCATTTGTTCAGTGATATGTCCCCAGTGCCCAGCACAATGCTTAACACATTAAATCAGTGCTCATCCACTGCCAATGCTCCCTTATCCATGGGAGCTGGGAATAATCTCAAATGGCAGGCAACCCACTGCCCAAATACACTCATGCCAGCGTGTACACACACAAATGCACACCATCTCTACCAGGCTCTGAGATGCAAGTGATGGCATTTGACTAGACCTACTATGTGCACAGCTATGGCTGAATCACTTCCTAATCCTACTTTATGAACCTCTGCCTGATGACTCACAAGGGGGTTCAGCCCATGTGGCAACCCAAGATCCTGAACAAAGCTTATGCACTGTCTCCCCAGACCACTCCCCTAAAGTCACCAGCCAGCACACCAAGCCCAGAGAAAGGTTTCTTTCTTTCTTTTTAATTAAAACAACTTTAATTAAAAAATAATAATAATCTAATAAATCCTAAGTTGTCCAGGGAGTAGGGCAAACATAAAGGCCCACTCACTCCCCTTTCAGTTAGGAACCCTGGTGCTACTTGTCTCAGAAATTTCCAAGAACTGTCTTCAGGGGCCGGAGCAGGGCAGCCAGGCGTGTCTATGTGGAAAGGGAGCTCTCTCAGTAAGAAACTGAGAAAAGACAGGTAAGTGGGGATGGGGGGCGCATACTTGTGGGGCAGTGAAGGGAAGACGGTAAGTAGTGAACCCAGGAGTCTGACCTCTGGTGTGTTGGAAAAACATGAAAGGAAGTTGACAATGTAGATAGAGTCAGAGGAGGAGGCGCTTGAGATGCAAGGTCCGTCTGGCTTCCAGAGGCTTGTAACTCACCGGGCGTGGGGAGAATCGCTGGTGAGGGTCCAGCTCCCGGGCAGGGGACTGTTACCCAGCGCTGTTGAGGGGGAGCACAAGGGCTCACAAATGGAGGGAGAAGAAATGAGGGGCTCACAAATCAGAGGGGACGCTTCAGTTCGGTGGCGAGACGATTGGGGGTCTCCCCGGGGACAGCAGACAGGGAAGGATCTAGAAGGTGTGCTGAGTCCAAGAGGCAAAGATGGGAGGCTCAGAAGTGCGCTCCAGGCCGGGTGCGGGCGGAGACGGGGCGCTCACAGGCGGCGCTCCGGGCCGGGGAAGAGCGGCCGCAGGTGCTCCGCCGGCGGCCAGAGGCTCACAGGTAGCGCTCCAGCCCCGGCGCGAAGCCGGGCTGCCTCAGGTAGGCCTCCCCGGGGCTGAGCGGGCCGAGCGCAGCTGCCGGCCCGCCCAGGGCCAGGAGGGGCTCGGCTGGCAGCGGGCCGGGGCCGGGGCGCGTCGCGGGCAGCCCCAGGCGCTCCGGGGCCTGCGCGTAGAGCGGCGGGGAGGCGGCGGCGCCGCAGGGCGCGAAGGCGCGTCCGGCGGGCGCAGCACGGCGGCTCGGGGGCGCAGCCGCCAGCTCGGGCTGCAGGCTCACCAGGCTGTCGACGCTGAAGAGGGCGCGGGCGGCGCCGCCGGCGGCGGGGGCGGCGGCGCGAGCAGCGCGGGCCGGGCGCGGGCGCGTAGGGCGCGTAGGGGAAGGGGAGCGCGGGCCCCGGCGGCGCGGCCGGGTGTGCGGGCAGCTCGGCGCGCTTGAAGCGCTTGCGGCGCCGCAGGAAGCTGCCGTTGTCGAACATGTCGGCGGCCGCGGGGTCGAGCGTCCAGTAGTTGCCCTTGCCCGGGTTGCCCGGCTCGCGGGGCACCTTGACGAAGCAGTCGTTGAGCGTGAGGTTGTGGCGGATGCTGTTCTGCCACTTGCGCGGGCTGTCGCGGTAGAAGGCGAAGCGCTCGGTGATGAAGCGGTAGATGGCGGCCAGCGTGAGGCGGCGGCCCGGGGCGTGCGCCAGCGCCATGGCGATGAGCGCGATGTACGAGTAGGGCGGCTTCCCGCGCTGCAGGGGCCGCCGCCGCCGCCGCCCGGGTCCCGGCGCGGGCGTGCAGTCCGCCTCCCCGCGGCCCGCCGCCGCCTCCTCCGGCTCCCGCCCCGGCTCGCCTCCCGCGAGTGGCGACGGCGGCGGCCCCGACGGCGCGACGGAGGGCAGGGCCGGGAAGCCCGAGAAAGTGGCAGGCGGGTCCATGTCGCCGCGCCCAGCCATCGGCATGCGGCAGCCCCTGCCCGCGCGGCTGGGGAGAGCAGGGGCCAGTGACCCGCCTTTTATGGACACAGCACCCCCACCTCCACCAGGGGAGCGGGCTGGGCTCGGACTTTCGCTGCTGGTCAGCGCCTCCCCTCTAATTTCCTTTCCCAGCCCCCTTCCTTTTCTCACAGTACCCCGCTACTTGCACACACATTTCACCCCTCCCTCCATCCCTCTGGGTCAGTTTTTCCCAGAGCCAGCTTCATCCCTTCCCCATCTCCATTGGGTCTGGCCCTGGCCCATCCCCAGCCTCATCCCACTGTATTCGATCAGCTCCCTTCCCTTTCCACCCCTCCCTCAACCCCCTCTCCTCTGGGTCAATCCCAACTACAAATCCACCCATTCAGCGAGGTCTCCCGGCCCCCTCCCCATTTCTCTCCTCCCAGTAGTCTGTCCTCTCCATCCTCCTGGTGCATCCATCCCCAGCTGGAACAGGCAACAGTGTCCTGAGGTGATGGGGTTGGTGAGCAGAGCCACGCCAAGCCAACTTTGTCTCAGGGGAGGATGTTTGGCCATTCCAGATCAGGGTCACCATCTCCTCCCTCTGCAACCTCCCCCATACCCCATCCCAACCTCCCTCCAGGCCTGGTGAGAATTCTTTGAAAAAACAAAATGGTGAAAAGTGGTCCAACTGCTTTAAATCAAGACCCCCCCAGAAAATCGGCAACTTGGAGCTGCTCTTCTGGCCGCCTCCTCTCCACACCCCTCCTGTTCTAGAAAACTGCTCTTCTACACACACACATACACAGCACCCACACAGAGAAGATGCACAAAACATAGGCTTCCACAGACTGGAGGTCTGAGAGTGCCATTTTTCTGACCCAGAAACACTACACTCTGGCAGGGCGCAGTGGCTCACGCCTGTAATCCTAGCACTTTGGGAGGCCGAGGCGAGCAGATTGCTCAAGGTCAGGAGTTTGAAACCAGCCTGAGCAAGACCCCGTCTCTACCACAAATAGAAAGAAATTAATTGACCAACTAAAAATATATATACAAAAAATTAGCCGGGCATGGTGGCGCATGCCTGTAGTCCCAGCTACTCGGGAGGCTGAGGGAGGCTGAGGCAGTAGGATCGCTGAGCCCAGGAGATTGAGGTTGCTGTGAGCCAGGCTGACACCACAGCACTCACTCTAGCCTGGGCAACAAAGTGAGACTCTGTCTCAAAATAAATAAATAAACAAAAACAATAAAACACTACACTCACATTCCACTGGGGCTGGGGGGTCTTAGTAGTTTTTATTAAAAATTCAATCTGGGAAATACCACCCACAATCACCATCCAGAAGGATGTGATGGTGAGTCCATTTCAGGAACTTCTTCCCTGAAGTGACAGGAGAGACCCAGCCCTGGCTTGGAGGGAACTAAAGGATGATGGAGCCTTGTTTTAAAGTGCCTTGGCCTGGGGACAAACAAGATCAAGGGGTAGGGAGCAGGGCTGGGAGTACAGTGAGCTAAGTGAGATGCCTACGATGCTAAACTTAAGGGACACTCTCTCTCAGAGTTGTGCAAATGCAAGGTCAACAGTGGAGAGCCGGACCTCCTTCAGCTGGGGGCCCAAGATACCTCACTTGCCCCACCCTAGTCCCTGGCCCTGATATAGAGTGCTTCCAGGTACAGATGACCAAAGGTAGCTACAGCAGGCCTGTAAAATCCAAACTCTAAATCCAGTTCAAAGTCCAAAGCCTTGAGCCTAGAGCTCAAGGGCACCTCTCTCAGCCCCAATCTCAGCTGCTAATATCACAACAATCATTACTGACCATTGGGTATTTGATAAACACTTTATTTGCATTATTTCACTGAAGTTTGAGCACCCCTGTAAAGTAGGTACTGTTATTATACCCATTTTGCAAATGAGGAAACTAAGGCTCTGAGTGGTTAAGTGGTTTGCCTAACTTCACAGAACTAATAGTAAGTGGTAGAGCCGCTTACTGTTAAACGTGGAGTTCAAAGCATTGGCAGTCCGCTCTTCTAAGAACACCATCTTTTTAAGCTGAGCTGAGACTTTAGAAATAATTTTCTGGAGTTCTTCCGGCTCCCACAACTTCAGCTGCCAAAGCTGATTCCTAGCCTCTCTCCTGACCTCCTGGTCAGCATATCCAGGTGCCCATGGGGCATCACCACATAGATTTCTCTAACCCAGATGTCCTAAATGGAATGCATTTAACCCTCCAACCCCGGCCACCTCCTCATCCAGCATTCCATATCTCAACAAATGGACCCCTCCTCCTCCCACCACCACCTGCATCAGAAGTGTGGACATTATCATCTTGGGCTCCTCCCTCCTCACTCACTCTCCACACCCAGGCAGTCTCTAAGTCCTGTCAAGTCCGCAGGGATACCAGATCTGTCTCTCCTTTAGTTCTCCTGGCCTCGGCTCAGCCTGCATCGTTCACCAGGCACTTCCGGGCCAGGCCCCCTTTACTAGATACTCAGGGCAAGACAGAAATGGAAAGACGCACAATCTGGTGGAGAGGTGGACAGTTATAAGTGAGGAGAGAAGTGGGCAGGAGGTTCTATAGAAGCAGAGAAGGAGAAGAAGGTGACCCTTGGAGACTCAGAGATAATCCTTTGCCCCATAACAATGAAAAATCAGCCCTGTTTATGTGCAAACAGGTCCTTAGTACCCTCTGCACTCTCCACACCCTGCGTTCTCCCGCCCAAGCATGTACTGTGCCCAACACAGACAGTGCACTCATAACGGCCAGCTCGCCACAGAAGGAGGCAAGACCAGCAACTACAGCAACAGAGAATCTAGCTCCAAGAGCAGGGTGACCTGGAGCAAGTTATCATTTGAGCCTTAGTTTCCTCACCTGCCAAATGGAAGCAGTAATGTCCCCTCTCGGGATTATTATGAGATTCAAAGGAATCTCATAATATGAAAGTGTTTGGCCCATGTTGGCACTTAGTAATAGGTGTCCCCCTCCCCGACTGTACAATTGTCATTTTCAGTATTAAACCAGGAGAGGAAGGAGACAGGTGGGGCCAGAGAAGTGATTTCAGAGCCTGCGTATTTTTAACCAGGTACAGCATAATCCTGCAGGTAGACTCTGGCACAGAACCAGAGCTGATGAGGTCTCAGACACTGCCTCTCCCACCTTCCCTTAGGGATGAAGCCCCCACCACAGCCTCTGTGTCACACTGCCAAGGAATAGGGTGGCAGGGAGAGTAGCTCTTGCTACCTCCCATGGCCACCTGCAGTTTTCTGGTCCATGTGTACCGCCCGGGACATAGTACATGTTCAATAAATGATATTGACTGTGTGGTTGGCTATGCTAATCCTGGGAAGGGTGGGGGCAGGGAACTGGGCCAAAGGGGTGAGAACCCAGACTTTTCCAGTTCTTTGTGCCTGTCTGGCCCCCTCCATTGGGCCTGCTTCCCGGAGCCGGAGCAGAGCAGGCCAGTGTCAAGGGGCGGCCCAAGGGCTAATCCGTGTTTTCAGCGTGGCTGGGCCCTCTTTTCACAGGCCCTGGGCCGGACGTGATGCGGCTGAGCATCCGGGCATAAGATGGCCAGTGAAGGCGGCCCCTTTCTCATGGGCCTGGATTCCAGGCGGCCCAGCGTCTGAGTGGAGCCCCTGGGGCGGGAGGAACACAGTGGCTGCGCTGGGCAGTCCTTTGTCTGACCATACTGGGTGGATATTTGGGCTGGCAGGAGGGATTAATGGCCAGGGATTGGCCCTGGGGCCGGCCTTCTCACTGCCCTTTGGAGGCCAAAGGCCCAGGTCAGGGCACAGAGCGTTGATGGCTCTCTAGATAGGAGTGGAAATTCCCACCCTTGTCCAAAGCTGTTAGCTCTAGCCCCCAAGACTCCCTGCTCCCAGCCCCCGCTCTGCAGAGACACTGCTAGCCAAGACGGACTTCAAGACAAGGATGCAGGGGCAGGGGGTAGAGCAGAGCTTCCCCACTACTCTGCCTAGGAGAGAGGGCTGAGGAGGGAAGCAGAGGAGGGCCAGATTGCCCCTCCAGAGCTCTGGGAAGAAAGAGCTGTGTTAACTCAATAGGGTCCAAGGGGCCAACCTGAGAGGTCCTTTAAGATTTCCTGGAATGTTCCTCAAACACCTCTAGTTTGAAGCCATCCCAGTCATTTACTCTTAAAGTCCTCAATCACAGCATCCATGAATCCCATAGCCCAGAGGCTGCAGAAGGGCTCAGGAACCAAAGGAAATCCCTGAGACACCCCCAACACCATCCCTTGCCACCCAGGTGTCCTGAGGGCTGCCGTGGGGTTTCGTTTATCTCACCCCCAAAACCAGAGCTGCCTGGGATACTGCTTATTCCTTAAGGGCCTTATGCAAGCAGTTCCAGCCTGGCTGGGGGGCATCCTGGGACCCCACTCTGGCAAGGCGTTTCTGACCAGGCTGCTCCTGAACTAAGGATGAAAGCCCGGCAGCCCTGGTGCGACCTGCAAGGCCTGACTCCAGAGAGCTGGGAGCAGGTGCAGGCCTGACTCTGATGAGAGCGTCGGGAGTAGCCAGGAGGTGGATGCCCTGCTTGTGGTTCTTCATTCCTGAAGCTCTTTCATTCAGCAGATTCTAAGGATCTGTGTCCAGGCTGTCCTGGGTGCTGGATCTCAATGGTAAGTCAGCTGTTCTCTGCCTTTACTGTGTTCAGGAAGAAGCTGCCAAGCAGACACTCCATGTGTAAGGTGGTCAGTATATGATGCAGACAGAGCAGGGTCCACAGGAGCACAGAAAAGGCTGGGTGCAGTGTAGGGGGCAGATTGCTCAAGGTCAGGAATTCGAACCTAGCCTGAGCAAGAGTGAGACCCCGTCTCTACTATAAATAAAAGCAAATTAATTGGCCAACTAATATATATAGAAAAAAATTATCCAGGCATGGTGGCACATGCCTGTAATCCCAGCTACTTGGGAGGCTGAGGCAGCAGGATTGCTTGAGCCCAGGAGTTTGAGGTTGCTGTGAGCTAGGCTGATGCCACGGCACTCACTCTAGCCTTGGCAA